AGGAGTTGCCTTCTTATTCTCTGATATATAGTTAATGCTACTGTTACCTCTTGGGGAGTGTTGGTAATTTGGGAAGAAAAAGTTTAGATTCATCTTCTGAGTTGTAAAAGGCGCTGAGGGCACTGAAGCACATCAAAAAGAACAATTATTCCTATTATTCTTGAAATGTCATTCTTACAACATCCTTGGTGCCACTGGTTTGATCTCTGAGCCTCACGCATACCTGCTCTCCTCCATCACCTCCATCCAGTGCATGCAGGTCACAGGGTTCTGCACTGGAAACACGTGGAGGATCTCTGCTTTCTCAACACCACACAGCACCACCTGCTTGGTGTCTCCGAGGCTGAAGGCCAATACTGGGGATCGAAGAGGAGATAACAGTGTAATAACCTCATGATCCCAGCAGTAAGCAATCGTGGTGGGAAAGATGTGTGGAGGCATTCCTTACTTTTGCCATCAGGTCTCCAGGCGAGTGCAGTGATCTCCTTCCCAGTATACTCACTGGGTGGTAAACTCCAAACACGCTGGAAACTAGCCAAGCGATGTAGTAGCAACTATGGACAAATGGGAACCATGAAATCACAAAACCATGAAAGACAACATGACATATTTTAGGATATAAAACCTTTTTTTTTTTACCTCTCCAGTTGTGTTGGCCAGAGCAATCAGATCCCGTTTGGGAGACCATGCCATACACAGTACAGGATTAGGAAGTTGCTTTTCTCCCACTTGCCGGAAGGCAGGCATGTTGTTGGCTGGAAAATGTGAAAGGTTTTAATAAATAACAGACATTAGCTCTCAGTTTGGGTGGGTGAGTAGTTTCATATTTTAAGGAATTCTCTTCTGTGATAATGTAACCCTGTTATTGATGCCTGAAGAAGACAGGACAGATGAGCTTTTGCTGATACATGTACATATCTGCTTATGTCTTTACACTGAAGCAGAGCTGGTGGATCAGATTAATCAGTAACTGTTTTGACAATCAAACAATTGTCTGAACAACAAAAGCTGCAAACATTTACTAGTTTTGTTTGACTTATATGATTGTTAATTTTCAGACTTTTTTAGACAAAATTATGAATCCGTTATTTTAGAAAGATAATCACTGACTAAAATAATTTCTTATTGTTGTGAATTGATGTAATTATTTGTGTAAAGTTCTAAAAATGACTTCATGCGAAGCACAAAAGTGACAAAATATTACTTCAAAACATTTTTAGTCAGCAGTCACTTGTGATGGGTGATATGAGACCAACGGTGTTATTAGCGTAATATATGACGGTCAGGTAAATAACAGGCAGTCACGGACCCTTTCTGACGAATATCATGACACTATGATGAACAAGATCCCATTTCATTTAGTTTGCTACCAGTTTGGTGACTTCCTAACATCCCATATTAGAACATTAGCTACTACACAATCACGCAGAAATATTAAGACATGCAGCTGGTATGTAATTTTGATAATATACATGTGTTGATGCTAGCCACGACCTAAACAATACATTGCTAGAAAGCCAAACTAACGAACACTGCGTGGTAATTAGCCGGACCCTTCTTACCCAGTGTTTATTGTTTGGACTTGACAGATGAGAAGCTTGTGTATCAACGTTAGCAGGTTTTGTTAGCAAGCCGGGGAAGCTAATGAAGAGAACACCCCACGGCTAATGTCACCGTGCCGGACGTCACAGGGAGCGACGCGGTAACTCCAACATAGCGTTGTGACATATAAATGTGTCAAATAAACCCTGCTCTGTCCCGGGAAACACGTAATTCAAGTTTTCTTCATGATGTTTTCACAAATACGCGGACAGCGCCATATTTTCTTGTCTACCAATCACTGTGGAGTAACGGAAGCCGTGAGAAGACAAAAATTCGTTCAGGAGGAAAGCGCAATTCGTAAATTAATTACAATTGGGCCTGCTAATAGTAGAAACGAGATTTTGACAGTCAACGTTGTATTTTCACGGATTTAAAAGCACGATACCGAAACAGTAAGTAAAAAATAAAAAATAGTCACAGTAAAGTGTGTACACTTATGTATTTTAAAAGTTTTATATTGAATGTCTACACCCGAAGTGTTTAGATATTCAAGTGTGCTCGTTGAGTCGATGGTTAAAACAACAGTGTTAGACGCCCTCTAGTGGTGAAAGTTTTATATTGAAAGTGTTTATAGTTACCATAATATTCAGCGTCTAATGACCTCCATTGTTTAACTTATGTTGTTTCTATCCGAAGCATTACAATATATTCATGCTAGTGAAGTTAGCTTATGAGCTAAACGTTACGACGGTTAATCAACATCCTGTCTGATTTGACCTGTGTAGTTAAGATATTCACTGCTCTCTAGTGGCCACGGTGAGGAACTGCAACACTTTAAATTTGTCAAGTGAATTAAGTGCATCCTCTTTAGGTAAATACTTTCAGAACACAGTGGTCAAACTGAATCGCATAATCGTTTTATTATGCTATAGTGGTCATGTATATTAGTGCTAAAAACAATACCAGTATTGTACTATACTTAGATCAGTGTAAATAGCTTGTGACACTAATATCTTACCTGCTATTCCATGTCTTTGGTTTAAAAAAAAAAAAAAAAATCTTTTACCTTTTGTATATTTGTTTGCTTTGATGCTAGTGGAGCTCAGGCTGAGACAGTTGACCTGAGTGTATCTGAAACCATGAGTGTTCACTGCCCTCCAGTGACCACGTGAGGAATTACAACATATAAATTCATCAAGCTAATGATGATGATCACATGGCAGTTGACTAAAATTTCAGCAAAATACTTTTGAAATCGACTCAAGCAAAAACTATCATGAAATGATTCTTTGATCTTCTGTATGTTTATTGTGATATTTTGAAAAAACAACTTTAATATTGATATTTAATTGATATTTTAATGGCGAAAGTTATTATTATTATTATTACTTCCACTATTTTGTCACTTGGATATAGTTATAGTATAGAGTATAGTTAGTTGCTACTAAATCAAAGTTGATTTAAACATGGATAATTATAATTGGCTGAGGTATGGATGATGGCCATTTTTATTTTTACTTTTTTTATTTATATCAGAATCAGAGTGTTTGCTGCCATCTATTGGTCACAGTGAGGAACTGCAACACATTAAATTCTTCAAGTTAGCGTCAGGTAGACATAACAGCACTTATACTTCTGTTGAGTACTTTCAAAATGAACAGAAACTTTAATGTTGTAATAAGTGTTTAATTCATATTCAATATATATTAAAACTGATTATTGGTATTATAGATGTACATAGAGCTATAATTGTGTCTGGATCGAGGAGGACATAATAGGACAGTAATACGTATGGGAATATGATGTACAAAGGTGTAGTTACACATTGTGACCACCAGAGGGTGTGTAGACACATTATTACACACGTTCTTATACTTTTTGTCTCTTGTGAAATGTCTCTTTTTGTACAGAAATTACTTGAATCCTCCTTGGGAGAAAACAAAAAAAAACATCCTTGACCTTGAACTCGACTGAATGACTCTTTCACTCGCAGGTTAAAGCAATGATAATAACATTTCTTGAAAGCCTATCAAGGGCTTTTAGTGTGAAGTATTTTGCTCATAATTTAGTACATTAATACTACAGATTAAACATTTCATAGAATGTACAGTACAGTAATACTGGTGTTTACTAAACAATCATTAATCTGAAAAATACAGAAGCCTCAACTTCGCAGCTTCTTCTTTTCCACTGTAATCTACTGTGTGTGAAGATACTGCCTGTTGCCTGACAATGCTAACAGTCTGGGTCTAACATGAGAGGAAGCTCTGATGCATCCAGCAGTATTTTTAAACACTACAGATAAACACTGTATGAAGACACTATTAAACATAATCTATGATGCAAGGAATACTGTTGTGGTGTGCACATGTGGTATAAAAGCGCTGTGCTGGAAACGTTACAGCACTATTCTTACATAGACCACAAACACATGCAAGTCTGCAGGTTATAGAAGTCACCACTAAATAATGCAGTTATTTTTAAATGATACCATACACAGGGTTATTGCTAATTGGTGTATGGTGACAAGTGAGTAGGATTTTAGCGGATTACTGATTAGTGTGTGTGTGTGTGTGTGTGTGTGTGTGTGTGTGTGTGTACAGTAGATAGTTATTACAGTGGAAATTCCTTCCAAACTTATCACTGGCACTTAACTCTAATCAGTAGATTAATGAAGAACCAGAATAGCTCTGAGAGCACAAAATGTGATAGTGGCCTAGAAATAGACCAAGTGAGGCTGCGTGGTCTCCGACTGTCTGTGCCTGTACACACTGTCATTTGTTGGCTGGGCAGACAGAAAAACTTTACATGCTCTATGTAGCCTCATTGACCTTGACCAAACCCAGCGCTCAACCCTCATCACCTTCTATTTTTTGCTAAATCCTCCCAGGTCCATTTTAAGATAACTTACCTACAGGTAAGACGGACAAGTGGGTGGTCTGGGGTCATCGGGTCAACTCAGCTCGACACTGTGGCAACGCAGACAAGCTGCTGTCACAACACTGCGATTAGATGTCTTCACTAGACGAACCAAAACCCAGCCATTAACAGACCTATTCAGCAGGATGTTTGATATGTCTTCATTACCCAGACCTGTGGTCGTAACCGATGCACATCGAGGGCTCGTGAATGTTGCATGAACCCCAACTGCCCCGGCTCAATTGTTCATGTTAAGAATGTGTGTTGTCAAATACTACATCATGCATGTGTCCTTGCTGCACTGTGTTCTGTGTTTTCTGTGTTTATTCACCAAATACTGTATGAAAAATGTCACCACTACCTTCTGTTCCCCAGGACTACCTTAACACTCTCTCCTCTTGCCAGTATTCTGGCTGTGAAACCTGAGCCCGGGGCCAAATATAGCCCCACACAGTGAGCAGTTAGGGACCGGGACAGATGGGACAGCAGGCCACTGCAGAGGCAGTACGCAATTGGACCCTGAACCTGAGAGATCCTGCTGACGGTCTGACCAATAAGGCTGCTCTTCTGGAAGGAGAAGCTTCGTTTTCGCTCATTCTTACTTAATAAACGAGACAAACCTGGAACCACGAAACCAGGAGAGAGTGTTTTCGACAAATAGCCCACTTTAAGGTAAGTTTTTCTTTTTTGATTCTTTCAGCTTCATTTTACGGCTTGATTCTTAATTGTTTATCACCAGTATGACCTAGATCACTTAATGTAACGGTACAGCTATTTTAAACATCTTTATATATGTATATATATATATATATATATCAGTCAAATCCAGACGCGGCAAATACAGGAGCTTCTGTCATGTGTTTCAGGGCATTTTGATTCATTCTCATTGTAAAATGTTTGTATTAAATATAACAAATCCTGTGGAAGTGAATATATAAGATACTGTAAGAACTGAAGTTAACATATTAATGTTTATTAAATCCAGGAAAAGAACAGGAGGCAGTGGAAACTCTGACGGCACTGACAGTTGTTAGCGTTTTGTCAATCAGTCTTAGTGTCTCATTTTCCACATTCATATTTAATCAGCTCTGTGCTGCTGCTGCTGTTGCTCTCTTCAGATAATGAGACGTTTGCGGGACATTAACACGCCTTGTTTTATTCCTTTAATGCTTTAACCCAGTGACTGTCAGTGTGTTTGTGCATATCCAGTCCTACCTGTGTGTGTGTGTGTGTGTGTGTGTGTGTGTGTGTGTGTGTGTGTGTGTGAGTTTGTGTTTGGAGGTCGCGTCTGAGTGTGAAGGACCTCTCTCCTGTGCTCAGGGTGGGTGGGGTTGCGCTGCTGCTGCTGTGACACATAGCCCAGGAGATTAAAAATAACAACAGCTGGTCTTCAGGACGCCATGAGGCGCTGAGTGTCTCGCTGCGTCATACATGTATACCACGCCACCGGCGTCACAACATATTGTTGTGATCAGAAACATGCTCCTCTTAAACTACACAGCGATGTGACCCGACTCTAATGATGCATGTAAACTCACATGTAAGAGACATCAGGCGATATAAATGTGTTTGTGTTTCCTCGTTCACGTCTACTTCCTCGTGCACAGGACAGCACCGTCATAAGTTTATGATATGATCATATGAATGGCCAGAATCAAACATCCTTTTATGCTTTAATTTAAACAATCTAATTAAATGTAATCTCTATGTTGTTGTTTATGGCTTTAAACAGACAACTATGTCCCATATTTACATGGATGCTAAAAAAGGATCAATAGACTGACAGAAAATGAATCAGTGATTGTTGTTGATAATTGATTAGACATTTCATCTTCAGGAAAAAACCTGAAACGTGTGCAGATTACAACTTTCCTCCATTTCATATAATTGTAAACAGAATAATTAGTGATTTTGAAACAAATGTAATCAGTATTTTCAGCTCTAAATGAAAAAAACAAAGGAACAAAGTGATGAGAGAAACAGAGCAAGTAAGAAATGTCGGTCATGTTCACTATGTAAAAGCCTCTGCTAATACCCACCAACTGTGTCCAGACAGCAGTGGCCTGAGTCATCCTGCCAGCTATGGCTCTTTGAGAAAGATCCAGTATTGTGTATTTGAGTTCTCTGTCTGTTTGTCATCTCCCCCTTTATTACTGATGGGTATCATGTGGAGTATAAACTGTAATGTCCGCAGTGTAAAGGTGTGTAATTTGCTGGTTTATGAGAGTTGATGTGTGTTTCAGGATGCAGGACGGGAGTTGGAATCAGCCACTCCCCTTCTCTCTGCTGCTAAAGGACTCAGCAGTGGGCGGGACTTTGGAGGGAAATGGAGGTGTGTTTTCTGAGGCGTCCTCTGATGGGGAACTCTACCTGGACTCTGGTACTGAGCTGGATTGTGGAGATGGGGACTTTGCAGATCTCACTGCCTTCTTAAGTGCAGAAGAGATTAATCGTAGCCTGGACCTGGCCCGGGAGTCCTTTGGTGGCACATGTGAATCTGAAGATCTGGGCCCCTCTAATCCTACACCTCAGGAGCAGGTTCTCCAACCCGTCCCCTCCCTCCCTGTGAACACCCAGACTACTGACAACCTCATCACAAGCACTAACCTGCACCACCAGACCAAAGCCCCCTACCCAGATGATATCGCAGCAGTTAGAGTCTCCTCCAGCCAGAACGCTGCCCTCAGCAAACCTGTGCAGGTGTCCAGTGAGGCTCCGTCCTCTGCTGAGAGGGTGGTGCGCCACAAACCCACGCAGCCAGTTTATAAGCAGGACAAGCCCAGGCTGGTTCACGAAGGCCTGGAGCTGAACGACCGGGCAGCTTCAGCCACGGAGTTCTGTAGCCGAGCTGCCACGTTCATCGAGGAGCTGTCCTCCATTTTCAAAGGTTCTTCTCATCTGGAGCAGCAGGTGGAGGAGGACTCCTCCTCTCCTGACAGTGGCTACCTGTCTCCCAGGAGCCAGCGACCGGCGCCTCAGGGCTCAGTCTCTGCTCCCTCTCTGCCTCCCAGCCAGCAGGAGCAGACGCACCACAGCCAGACGGACGTCGGCCCTCAGCCTGGGGGCCCGGTGGCAGTGGCAGCTTCTGTGAGGTACCAGCACTCAGGAGCTCCGACCACGACCGGACCCCTGTCCCCTCCTCAGTTCCTCCAGAAGCTGAAGAGTCAGGAGGTGGCAGAGGGAAGCCCCATCCGCCTGGAATGTCGGGTAATAGGAAACCCCCTCCCGCTGGTCAGGTAGGTGCGACCTGATTAATGTGACGGTCCGACAAGTATCTGCAGATTGATGCTGTAACAATGATGTAAATATTGTATAATATAAATATCGTAGTGCGGAGAGATTTTACAACATCACGATATTGCGATTTTACACCTTGATATTCCTTTTTATTATTGTTGAGAAAGAAATTCAGAAAAATGTATAGGCCCGTCAAAACGCACTGAGTCGTGGATATATGGAATATGGAAAATAAACAATTAGATTAAGTGAAAATGTAATTATCAATCACTTTGGTAAAACATTCTATTTTTTATTTAATCATTTTCATCATTCATCAAAATTTCCTCAATTCTGTTTTTGTTTTCTACATCTTTTACATTTTGATCATGTTTTTCTTTCTCTTTACGAATGAGTTTTCACATTTTCCCATTGATTCATTTATTGATTATTGGCTCTTCAGCTGACTTGAGAGCGGCACGAATCAACAAGTAAATGAGACTTGTTGCCTGATACCATGACCTTGTCTCGTGTTCAGTCTGATGGTGAACAACATGTGCTTTCACCAAGATTAAAGGTGTTTGGATTTTCCCGCTACTGTTCACACACATGGTGACGGATGGAGGATAACTTTTCTGCCATCCCTGCAGTTTTTCACAGGCTTGACATTGGTTGTTAACTTTGTAGGTTAGGTGAAGGTGGGTTGTGTAAAGCAGCTGTTGTCCTGATTCGAACTCGCTCTCCTGCTTTGCACTTCGCTATAATTTGTGTCTGATGCGTCACGCAGTCCTGGCATCCATCTGTCTGAGCGTAGGCACACACGAGTTGACCATTAGTGCTGCGAGGGTCAATTCACCCAACGTGCAGAAACATTTTCTCACTTAGTCCCTGTGGTTTCTCGCTGTGCAGATAGTTTTGGTTTTTGGTTGTGGTTTTTGAGAAAGTCTGTCTCGGAGATTTATCTTGAAGCAGAGTCGAGGTTTTTGGCACAACTTCGCCTCCTTCCACGGTGCATGGAAAAGAGAGGTCAAAACTGCAGCAACACTTTCAGACCGACGTGTTTCGGCTCTGGGCCTTCATCAGGGTTATTGCATTTAAATAGGGAAGCTATGAGACAGAAAAAAATCTAAAACAACCAATCATATGCAGCCACATACGTATCAGCCAATGGGGCTTCTAAAAAGATGTGATGGGCGTATGGTCACGTGGCCTAAAGCCCCTATTTAAACGACCCTGATGAAGGCCACGAGCTGAAAACACGTCTGTCTAACAATAAAGTTGCAAGTGTTGCTGGAGTTTTGACCTCTGAGATGTCTGTTGACACCCTAATACACATGATTTAATGGGAATTTTATTTGTGGTACTTACTCTATTGAAGAAATGGATTCAAAAATGTTGAAAGCAACTTGTCTTTCTGAGCCTGGATAATCCACCCAGCACAGTTTTAGGGGCTATATCATCAGTTGAACAATCCAGAGTAACTAAGATGTTGTTTTCAGTTGGACACGTTGCTGCTGAATTTCCTTTTGAATGTAATTTCCTGATGCTGTCAGCACAACAAACCATATTCCATTCACTTTCATTGCATCAGCCCGAAGGTAGAAGTCCCGCAGCGGCAGATCTCAAAGCCTCTGTGAATAACGCCCAAAACTGTTCCCATGACTTTCTGTGATTTGGGTGAAGTTTGAGTTTGAATGAACATTATCCAAGAATACACAGACCTAAGAGAGTATGAACAGCCCTTCATATGACAGTGTCAGTGATGCTGACCAGACCAAGCGTCAGGATCCGGCCTTTCCGGGCTTGGCCGTTAGAGATAAGGTGAGTGAGGTGGGCGGCGGCCAGGGGGTGAGAGCTACCCGTGTGCTGACAAGCAGAGCACCTGGTTTTCAGGGGTGTTTTTTTTTTTTTTTTTTTTTTTTTTTTTGGGGGGGGGGGGGGACTTCCACTCTGTGTAAGCACATTTGCCCATCGGTACCTGTGCCAGTTGTCTAATTTATGCCTGGATGAAGTGTTATTCAACTTGAGAGGACGGCAGCCCCCTTGCACCAGATCATCAGCAAACTAAAAATACACTCTTCTCTTGTTTCTAGACGTGTCAGCCTCACAGCTCTGTCAACATGCTGCTGTTTACTATAGAGAAATACCTGAACTGATGTAAGTTTTTATTGGGAAGATGGTCTCAGTGTGTGTGTGTGTGTGTGTGTGTGTGTGTGTGTGTGCCTCCTCCTGTTGGTTGAACTTTTCTGGCTGAATTTCAGTTTCACTTTTAAGTTATTAAACCCTAATACTCAGAGCAGCTCCTTTAAAATTCAACTTTAAAGCTGAAAGTTTGAATGTCTTGTGCATCACTTTTTTTTTTTACACATTTCACTGAACTTTTAAGACTTTGTGACCTTGCATTTAAAACACACCGGGGGTTTAACAAGTTCTCATCTTGTCTGAGTTTATTATGATCGACCTTCCAAAAGGTTCCAGCGGAGTCAAAGAGTTTCAGTTTCAGGGAGTTTTGTCTGTGTAATCAGAAGACATAAAGTCAGTGGCCCAGGTCGTGTATCTCCCCAGTACGTTATGAGGGGGCCTCTTCTGCCGCTGTATAAATAGTCTTCAGGCCAACAGGAGCCAGGCACAGGAATGCAGGCAATGCAATGACAATGCGTTTTCAGTCGGCAGGCTCCACATCTCCCCACACCTTCTTGGGGAATACGAAGGTAGCGTGTGTAGTGTGTGTCTTACCTCAGGGGGAACAGGAGAACCCAGGATACTGTGGCCGTACCGACGCGCTACAACAGAGGAAGTGAGTGGAAAGCTGAGAGAAGCAGAGTGCAAAAGCAAAAACTGTAGCAAATATATTTTACCTTTTCTCCCTGTAATTTCATAACCTGTAGATTACAAGTCTCCTGAAAGAGTTACAAGTGAATGTAGTTGTTGTTGCTGAATGAGATGGGAGGACTGAAGGTTTGTTGCAGCAGTTTTTTTACTGTCTGGTTGTGTGTTTGGCCACAGTGGCAGCTCTTCCAATGAGTAGCTCTCAGTATTGTTTGTGTGCTGTTAAAAGAAAAAGAAGTGCTGATTGTGGACACTAGATGGCAGCAAATTATATATTATTCAAAATAAAAACCGTGCATCTTCAGGAAGCAGCTTCTTAAGAAATGTTGAAATACAAAGCGAGCAGTAGCAAAGAGAGTTTAGTGTCTGTATCTGTGCTGAGATACATGTCGTATCGGTTGGAGGAGAAACACGACGTGTTGTGAATTTGCAGTTTAACTGAATAAAGAGTTAGTAGGACCACGTTCCTCTGCTCAACTGAACTGTAAAATTAACACCATACAAGAACTTTTTTTTAAAAATCTTTTTCAACCAGTCTTCATTCTTGCGTGTAACAGTAACCACATGCGCGACAACATTTTTACTGCTTCTTTATTTAGATTCATACATTTCACACACATGTCTAAACTTCTTGCAGAGCTGCTCGCAAATTAAAGCAGCGTGTCGGCTGCAGGTGACAGTGGTCGGACCCACCATCACACACACACACACACATATGCATGTTTTTTTTTTTTTTTATGTGCTCCAGAGGGAAGTTAATGGCTTCCTCAGTTCTAACAACCTGCCCTTTGCATGCTGTTATTTGCATGTGTGTGCACAAGCATGCATGTTTTCTTTTTTTGTTCTTTTTTTTTTTTTTTTTTTAACCAAGGTTGAATTCAAATGCCTGATTTCCATTTAGTGCTCATTTCCCATGGGCAGCGCCTTTGATGCCAGTCCAAGCAGGTGATGCACCTCCTCACCTCCCTCCCGGCTCTCTCCACAGGCTAATGAGCTGCTGCTGAGCCCATGCCAGCGTTTTGCACGGCCAGTGAAAGAGACATTCCTCGCGGCCGGGTGCTGGGCGCGGCCTTCTGCGGTCGGCCACAATTTGTCTCGGCCGGAGAGTCTTATGGTCCTGAGCGCCTGGTATTCTTCAGTATGTCCTCATGTTCCTCACACACAATGCTTTATGCAATGCTCTGTTTATAATGATGCATCGCTGGTAGTGGGATGCGTGTGTGTTCTATCCTTGTGGGAACCACTTTGTGCATTTTTTCAGTCTGAGGTCATTTCAGCTTTTCTTTGCCTCTTCAAGGGGCTAGTTTTGGGTTTAGATTAGCTGTTGGCATGAAGGAAGACCCCCTGTGTGTGTGTGTGTGTGTGTGTGTGTGTGTTAGCGTGTTTTGTTGTTAAAGAGAGCATTTCTAAACAAAAGTGATGGTGTGAGGTCGGGTTGTGTGGAACACCAAACACGCTGCAGGTGCCTGATGACTGATTTCTCGCCATTTAAATGCATCGCAAAGCAGACAGAGAAAATCCATCTCCGATTGTGGCGTGCTCAGCGAGCTATTTCAACCGTTTTGTCTGATGCTCTTCCATGTCATTACCCAAGCTGCCTGCTGTGCAAACAAGGCATTTCAAAACTTGACTCGGAGTTGAATGAAGAGAGACGGGCAGTTACGCCAGAGAGCAGCCACGGCTTCTTGGTTTCAACCATTTCTCAAAACACAGGGGAAGATGAGAGGCTGCTGAAGTCTTCTGCTCTGAAATCCACACAAGGCGTCCCCAACATCAGGAGGAGATTCTTTTCACATATAATCTGAGAGTTTATTTTGCAAATGATTTTATTCCCCTGGGTGCTCTAACGGACATCGCTCAGTCCTGGAAACCAAACCCATTCACCCCTCTACAGGCAGAAGGGTCAAATCACTCTGATCTGAGGCAACAAGAGGAGGCTGGTTGCTTTTTTACTTTTTATAGATACTTTTTATTGAGTTTAAACAAACAGAACAACATTCAGTACCCCCACCCCAGACATATAGCACACACACAACAAAAGAGAGAGAGAAAATGAATAAAAAAATAAAATAAGTAGATAAAATAAAACTTAACAAATTAATTAATTAATTAAAAATAAATAAATAAAAATAATTAATAAATACTGACAATACTTGAGATTGAATAATGGTAAAAAAGCAAAAATAATTAA